GAGAGGAAATACTGCGCTCGAAGACTCGCTGAAATTTGACAGAAACCGGCCAAGATCACAAGAAACCCGCCTTTTCACATATGCTTAAGTATCTATTTGTCAAATGCGCTGTTTTTGTGCTGGAACGAAGTGTTTGCGTCGTTTCTGACTGACGGCGACCAGCGAACCTCAACTTGCCTCACAATGTACGCGATTATCCGAGAGAGGAAAGTGCGTTTTAACGACTTTGTTTGGCGTTTAAATAACCAAATGATCTGTTAGCACGTCTACATTGCTAAACCAAACGCGTCGGGTCGACTAATTAAATCAACATCCTCGCAAACAGCTAGTCGGTGAAGCTAAATGCTTAGCTTGCTATGCTAATGCGCATCGATGTGATACACTGGAGCATTTAATTGCCTTACACAGAGGTATAAATCAAATTTCCAACAGTAAATATCAAACCCTAATCGACCTAAACCTGAAAACGCGTCGAGTGACGGTTTATTGGCTACAAATGGCATAACTGCGCAGCTCGCTGGTAAAGCAGCGCGGTTCTGGTCCAGTTTGAGGCAAAGCTCAAGCAGCTCTGACTACATGAACCGAGCCCGAACCCCTCCCCCACGCCTGCAGCACTCATTATCAGCACACAACCACACAAAACACATCAGACACTAAATAAGCGCTCATTTTCTGTCCTCTTTGCTATGTCTATGCATTATTATGCTAAGCAGCACTAAGTCGTATTCCTCTGCAGCGATTAGAGCAAGTCCAAAACCAACAGATTAAAATCACATCTCGTATTTTAGATGGCCTTACTACTATGACTCAGTGCTAGTCAATAGGCTTAAAAAAGTGTGTTTGTTTGCTGGGTATATGGGGTAAGAGTGGACCTAGTGAATGGCTAGCCGGAGTTGAGCGGTGTAAACAAAAGCCCTGTTGTTGCAGGCTCTGTCAGAGAGCAAAGCGTGCCATTTTAAACATTTCACAGCTCTCATTCTCTAAAACGCACAACAAAAACACGTGTAAATAGTTGTAAACGTGTGCACATCACCGTCAGGACTGTACGTTAGATAAGTGGCGGGAGCAACATATCGTGGGCCGTGACCACGACTTCACCAAACGTGAAACACTCGAGCAGTTGTCTTTGCAGCACATCCCAGCATCTCTAAAGAGATTATTGAAGTCTTGAGCGGTTTCTTTCTTGGCTGGCTAACTTGCTAGCATTTCTCCAGTGACTGCTGGTGTTGCTACGTTAGCAGCTTTACGACAACGAGTTTCCGCTACTCTCGTGTGCAGCTTTTCTGGTGGCTACCACTATAAAACAGCGATGCACTTCAAGATCTTTCCTTCTGTGAGGCATTAAAGGTGGGTGTGAGCTAGCTAGCCACCTTAGCTGCTAAATTAAGTCATACACTGCTCGGATTGCCCTCTTTACAACAAGCCAGGTGGGATTTAACGTTATACCTCAAAAGGAGGGCTGACAAACGCACAGCGGCGTTGTAAATGCATCTAATTTTAACAAACTATTAATACAAGCTCATTAAAGCCAATTTCAGCATCCACACGAGGATGGGACCCTCTTCAGCAAGTCACTTAGCCACTGGCTTCAAACAACCGTCTCTAATAAACAAACAGATAGCTGTAGGATTTCGGCAGGTACTTACCGTTGATGTCCACTGTAATAACTGTGAATAGAGACACGGGGGACTCGGGTGAGACCCCGCCGCCTGATCTAACAGTTACCACACAACCAAAACAATACTTCGCTCTCCACTGCGGATGTGCAACAAAGCTTTACAAATCGCGCTATTTCGCACCTGTATTTCGCTTCGTGGTGCTCTAATCCCAAAGTACAGTTAGAGTCTGTTAAAGCCCGATTATTTTGTCCGTATCTGTGCCGACAGTTAGAAACTGGATCCCTTCAATCCTGTCTCTTTTCCCTGTGCAAAAATGGCGGCCCTGGCAGAAGTGCCGTGACTCCGCCTCCCCCCGCTCACCCCCGCCCGGCTCTCTGTCACTGCGCGCTCCGCCTCTACATACCGCGGGGTTTCCCGGCGCAGAAGCTCAGGGGCGCGGGCTGAAGAGCGAGCGAGAGAGAGAGAGAGGGAGGGAGGGAGTTCATCCACGGCGAGCATTCTCCTCATCATACAGTCCAAACATAGGACTCTGCAGCCCGCTGTGAAGAAATAAGCCTGAAGGCTCGGCCTAGCGAGATGAATGCCTAAAGAAGGGAAAAAAGAATGGATTAAAAATACTGCAATTAAGATTATAGTGAGTCACTTATTACATTTAGTCATTTAGCAGATGCTTTTATCCAAATGAGGACAATAGAAGCAATCAAAACTAACAAAAGAGCAACAATATGTAAGTGCAAATGACAAGTCTCGGTTAGCCTAACGCAGTACAGGTAGCAAGGTATTTTTTATATATATATATATATATATATATATATATATATATATATATATATATATATACACACACACCTCAGGATTCTTTGATGAAGAAAAAGCTAAAAAGAAGAGCATTTATTTAAAATAGAAATCTTTTCTAACAATATACACTACCGTTCAAAAGTTTGGGGTCAGTAAATTTGTATTCTTTTTCTTTTTGAAAAATTAAAACTTTTATTCAGCAAGTATGTGTTAAATTGATAAGAATAGTGTTTTTTGTTTTTAAATAAAAAAGATAAATAATTAAAATAGAATAGAAAGTGCTAGAGTTAGAGGGTCAAATAAAGATAGAACAGATGTGTTTTTAGTCGTTTCTTGAAGATGGCTAAGGACTCTGATGCTCGGATTGAGTTGGGCAGGTCATTCCACCAGGAGGGAATTATTAGTTATTATAATTATTATAAGAAACCCTCAACACAAGAGGACTTCCAAACTGAATTTTGAGTACTTGTTTTGTAGTTTAAACAATGAGGAATGAGGAACAAGTGAACTTCAAAAACCAAGTTGATGCACTTAATTATCAGAGAAAAAAAATGTGTTGAAATAGCCCCCTATACCCTTATATAGTGCATTATCTGATGGGACAGCCATTTGTAGTGGTGTCCAAAACCATAGTGGACATTATCGAGTGCACTCATTCAATCCCACAATGCACCTCGTCTTGCCAGAAGATGGCGCCATTCACAGCACTTCCACTGCACTCAGTGTCCGAATTCGCTTACTCGTATTTATTCACGCATTCAGTGAACTATATTATATGGAGTAATATAGGAAATAGTGAATGGGGGTGATTTCGGATACAGCCGAAGTGTTGGATACTTCATGCACTCAACTGTCACAGTTTTTCCACACTTAGCGGACTTTGATGTTGGATGACAAAATAACTTCGTACGCTAGAGTGCGTAGTGTATAAACACATATTTAGGGACACAACTGATGTTGCTAAGGTGTTCTGGATGGTTGATAAGTGGTCATGAGGTAGAAGAGTTCACCTGATATTTTGGTTTCTAAATATGGCTCGGGGCCCTCCTTCAGTATAAATCTATGGGATTTGTTTGCTCAACCACCAGGCAAAAATGCAGTTGCAAGTAATATAAGTAAGTCACATGATTTGAGGTGACATTCATGTCCTAGCACAAATGATGCATCCCAAAGTTTGTCTGAATCCCTAAACCTAAGGGTGTGTTCATACTTGTCATGTTTGGTTTGATTGAAACGAACCCTGGTGTGATTGCTCTGTTAGTGCGGTTCATTTGATTAAAGGTCTTTACACACTGAGTCCGAAACTTTCGTATGCGTTTTTCAGTTTTTTTCCGTATTCGTCATCCTTTCCTATCAAAATGCTTGCTACGGATGTGAAAACGCAGAAAATTGAACCTGGTCCGAATTTTTTTTATGACAGGAGAAAGTTTCGGAGGCAGTGTGTAAACGTGATTGACAACGTGAGGTCGTATTTATTTTTCAACGTGCAAACATTTCGGACGAAAAATTCGGACTCGGTGTGCAGAGACCTTAAGTGTGAACGCTGCCATCCGAGCCCTGATGCGCACCAAACAAGTGGACCGAGACCACTAAAGGTGTGTTCACACTTGTAGTTCGGATCCTGGTCCGCTTAGCGTTCACATTGGCATTTTTGACAGCGAACCTAAAGACACCGAACCTAAAGGCATAGTGATACGTTCACAACCTGATTTGTCGGCTTGAATGAAGTATATATATCGTGACGGAACTCACCAAACACCCCAAACAAAAGGTGCGTTAGACTTAAAGCGGCAGTTCGAATGAAACATGAACGCAACACGGACCAAATACTTCTAAACAAACCGAAAACAGGAAGTAATGACAAGATGCGATGTAATGCGACATGATTTGACGACGCGGAACGAGCGTTGTATTCAAAACAAAATGAGCAGACGGCAAACGTGGAGAAAGAGGAGGTAAAGTGCCTTTTATGAGCTCTTTGTGAGTTCGCATGTGGTGAAAATAAAATCATAAGTACAACGTTTCAACGTCCAGCAGACGGCGTTAGGTGTATTCGACTTAGGCACTGTCCCAAATGGAACACTTCATGTGCACTTTCGGTCTTGCAGGCTGACAATGGCCGCCGCGTGCGTCCGTTAAGTCAAAGACTATAAAATACCCAAGACATGTCACTCGTATAGTTTTGAATGGGGAAAAATGCAATGCTCAATATGGCCGCTCGTCCTGGTTGCTATAGAAACAGTCAGCGTTCTGAGCCATGCGCACTGGCTGATCTAGCCTGAATAATAAGCTTTTTATAACGCTATTTGAGCAAAATAAACAACATTTATGACACAGTTGATGTCAGATTTCTTTGGTGATTAAAAATATGAAATTTAATAGCAAGCTTAGTGAACAGTTTTGTAGAATTTTATGTTTCCCCGTTCAAAGAGATAGGAGTTGCACTTGCATGCCCGAGAGGCGTTTCAAAGATGGCCGCCGAGTGACATGACTTGTCTTAAAGGGACTTTGGTTAAGTCCACGAGACCGTAGGGTGTCCCATTCATCATTTTAGCATTCAAAAGTGTGCTCGCGAGCGCCCCCTTTGTGGCCGCTATATGCCCTCGATACGCACTTCAGCCGAGCCCGCACTGGGGTGAGCTCCGCACCAGACTTCTACCCGACAGTCAAAATGGCATTAGGTCACGAAAGTGCGGACTCAGAGGAAGGCCGCGAGGGTATAGGGTGCCATTTGAGACAGGGCCTTAAAGCGGCGCTGAGCAGACCGATCAGTGAATGGGTACTTTCATGTCATACACTGTACGGTCTGCGCAGCGCCGCTTTAAGTCGAACACAACTTTTGTTTGGGGTGTTCGGTGAGTTCCGTCACGATATATACGTCATTCAACCCGACCAATCAGGTTGTGAACGTATCACTATGCCTTTAGGTTCGGTATCTTTAGGTTTAGACCAAATGTATAGTTTTCTTTTTTGTTCTGGACCAAACTAACCAAGAGAACCGAACTACAAGTGTGAACGCACCCGAAGTGTTTTTTTTGTGTGTGTTGCAAAATAGCTTGTGTCTACCATTACAAATAAAATTTGGTAAAAGGTTTCAATTATGCCAAGACCTTGTGTTCTGCTTCGATATCCGGGTGTTGTGGAATGATAAAATAACGATCTCACATTTGTATCTGCACGTGTATGTAGTAAAATAGTCTTTTTATAGGTTCCTGAAGTGGAAGTCTAATCGTCAGCCCTATGTTTCCTTTTTTATGGAACCCCTTCCCCCATTATAAGTATCCGAATGTCAAAGCATATATGAAATAATAAGAGCTATACACAAAAATTGAGTGAAAACAAAGAAGGCAGCCTACACAAGCCTATTACGGTTGAATACAAACACCTACTTGTGAGGCCCAAAACAGTAAATGGCTGCAAATCTGTTATGTAACCCTTTACACAAGTGCAGTGTTTTGTTTTTTCCCTCAAGGTAACTGGAGTGAGATTCCCACAAGTATAAACACATACATCTGCAGAGTGTAATGAAAAGGTAATATTTCCTTCGGCTGCGGACAGACCCACTCTTTTTTTTTTTTGTAGTTCTTTGGTTTATTTTTTTAATTTTGTTAGATCGCTTCAAATCTAGTCTCTCAAGTTCACGCGGAGATATAATGCTGATATACACAATACAAAATTAAGAGTGGATTGTTGTCCTTTATTATTTTCTGGTAAACTAATACCATATTGTTGCAGGGGTCTCCAAATGTTGCTCTTCAACCAGACGGCTTCATTCGAGCAACTCACCCTACATACAAACACCCTCCCCCATACTGAACTGGATCTCGAAACCGCATCCTCCTGCGCATGCGCAGTCTGTGCTACAAAACCAACCACTAGCAGTTGAAGGGCTATGCAACGCAGAGTGGAGAAACACGGCGAGACAAAGCGGAAAACTGCGATGTGACACGCGGACCATCGAATTTGTACAGTTGAAAGTAAAACGAAAGTACAGAGATAGTTAACCCGAGCTGTTGTATCGCCTACGCAAGTCAAATCATCTTCTGGTTTTAACTTTCGAGACGTTGAGATTACCCTCAAGGTAACTGGAGTGAGATTCCCACAAGTATAAACACATACATCTGCAGAGTGTAATGAAAAGGTAATATTTCCTTCGGCTGCGGACAGACCCACTCTTTTTTTTTTGTTGTAGTTCTTTGGTTTATTTTTTTAATTTTGTTAGATCGCTTCAAATCTAGTCTCTCAAGTTCACGCGGAGATATAATGCTGATATACACAATACAAAATCAAGAGTGGATTGTTGTCCTTTATTATTTTCTGGTAAACTAATACCATATTGTTGCAGGGGTCTCCAAATGTTGCTCTTCAACCAGACGGCTTCATTCGAGCAACTCACCCTACATACAAACACCCTCCCCCATACTGAACTGGATCTCGAAACCGCATCCTCCTGCGCATGCGCAGTCTGTGCTACAAAACCAACCACTAGCAGTTGAAGGGCTATGCAACGCAGAGTGGAGAAACACGGCGAGACAAAGCGGAAAACTGCGATGTGACACGCGGACCATCGAATTTGTACAGTTGAAAGTAAAACGAAAGTACAGAGATAGTTAACCCGAGCTGTTGTATCGCCTACGCAAGTCAAATCATCTTCTGGTTTTAACTTTCGAGACGTTGAGATTATAGATGGATATTAAGACGGGCTACAATTCAACCCGTCGTGGAGCTAGGGTATTATTTGAGTGTCGCTATCGTTCATTTTGTTACGCTTTCAAAATGGCGATTTTCTCCGCTCGTCCCCCTCCCTGCCCTTCCTGAATAGAATGAATGACATTGCCCTTGACCAATAGTACGCTTATTGTCCGGTTTCCTCGGCGCTGATTGGCTACAGATGACATAATCGGAATTCCATATGTGGGCGGGCTCTGAGCTGCGAGGGGAGAGCGGCGCACCCGGAGATCCGACCGTGTTTGTGGACGACAGTAGGGCGCCATTAACTCCAAATCTCATTAACCATTTGATTTAACGTTACTTGAATCTCAGCGGATCAGCGTTTTAGAAGAGCCCTTTCTCGGAGTTGGTTTATATACAAAATTAGTTCGTGTCGCGTCACAAAAATCGCGAGAAGATGGCGGCGTCGACACTCCTCGCAGCACTGCGCTGGGCGCGGCGGG